CCCGCCGCTCGCTCGCCCGCCAAGTACGTCGGGGGAGAGCTCAGGGTCAAGAGCGACGTGGGGTCCACGAGCGTGTCCATGGCTTTCGCGGCGCCCTCGGGCTCGGACGCAAGTGAGTGGATGACTGTTGGTGTACCATCAGGGTAAGCTCCAATAGGGGGTCACCCCGATGGACTGTCACCGTTGATACTAGTATGATTGTTTAGAGCAACATGGCATCAATTATTATTGTTGTTGCATGTGACGTTTTCCTCTTTCGCGGGGTCCCCGGGCTCGGCTGCAAGTGAGTGGATCACACAAATTTGGGTGTTTTTTTTTTTTTGCGAAGCTGCGGACACTACCGGGCGGAGGGATATTGCATATGCGTCTCCTTTGCGGCGGTGTATTCGGGTGCTCTGCGGTAGCGTGAACGGTGCTTGTGTTCTGGCTGTTTGTCGACGCCAGCGAGTTGTGAATGTGGAAACTCCAGACTCGGGGGCTTGTGTTGTGAGCCTGGGTCTTTTGGTTTCAGGTCGTGGGTGTACCCGAAGACTCATCATCGTGTTCGGTCACGGGCTCCACTTGGGCACCCTCACCTACCTGAACACACCTGAAAAAGGCTGAAAAACGTCAATTATCCACATTTTTTTGTTTTTTTTTTGTCAGATCCCCCAGAGAGAACGCGGCGGTCTCACGCTGTATTAAAAAAAAAAGCCATGACGTCGTGGCGTGTGCCCTAAACTTGCATTTTTTCGACATTTTTTTTTTTTCAGGTGCCCCGGCCTACGAGGTGCTCGGAGCCCTCCTCGGCGCCCGCGCCGCGGCAGCCGCCCCCTCCGCCTCTGGGTTCAGCGTGTCCTACACGGACGCCGGGCTCGTGGGCGTCACCGGAACCTGCCCCGACGGGCAGGCGGGAGCGCTGTCGCAGGCGCTCGCCTCCTGCTTCTCGGTGAGTTGCTAGCTTCTGTACACTACTGGGCGGTTTCGTGTTTTTCCAACCCAGGGTGTGTGTGTGTGTGTTTTGGTTGTATCAGGCCATGATCTGGGACCCCCTGACGGTGTGGTTGTACTTGTATTATTATTTCTCCGGCTCGGGTGTGAGCGGTATCGGTACGGACGGGAAGGTGGGGGTGCGGTTTTTGAGGGTGGTCTGACCGTGGGGGTCGTTTGTATCAATGCCATGACGACATGCTCCGAAGCAGAGGGTGCGCATGATACGGATTGGCTCTTGCGGATTACGTACGTTGTGTGTAGTTTCCATTCGTGCCATTTTTGCCGACGAGAGCCTGTAGTACCCCCCTCCCCCGTAACGTCTCCGTTTTCTCTCCAGGAGCGGTGCTTGCGCATGGTGCTTGCCCCGTTTTCGAAAAACAAGCAACCAATATTTCCTCCCGCCCGCCGCCTGCTCCGTCTTGTCGAGGACAAACTGTGGTCAATGGTCTAATCTCTAAGGCATGCACAACATGAGTACCCCCACGCCCACCCCTCCCCCCCTCTGATGTGCTAGCCTGGGCCAGCGAAAACCCGCGTATCGCCCGTCCCGGCATGCGACGCCAATGGTCCAACGACCACGGCACGTGTTTACATGAGTACCCCACCCCCCCCCCCCCCTCCCTCTCACGCCTTAAACCAGGGTCTAGCCACGGCATCCAACGCCGAAGTGGCATCCGCGATCGCTTCTGCCAAGGTCAGCCGTGCCCTCAAGATGGAGAAGCCCCTGTACGCCCTCCTCGCCCTGGCCGACTCTGCCTCTGTCGGCACGGACCCCGCAAAGGCGGCGACTGCCCTCGACGGCGTAACGGCAGCGGCGGTCAAGAAGGCGGCGGCCGCCGCGATCAAGTCGGGCATGTCGATGGCTTCGGTGGGCAACATCTCGGAGGTGCGTCGTGCTTTTGTATACTTGGATGCAAGCTGCTCTGAACAAGTCAAAAGCGCCTTGAAGGACGGCTCCCCGAACTCCAGCCTCCACCGCTGACGACCTCAAGTGACGAATGTGTAACTGTAGGACGGAGGGCGTGCGTGTGGCCCGTTCTCTTTGGGGGGGATTGTGGTGGCCTTCGCTCTGTGCCGTGCCCATTACAGTAGGTGGCCCTCGTTGGTGGCTTTGACTACAATGCACTGTCGTTTCGTCGTCGCGTGTGGTAATGTATGTTGGGTATTTTGCTGCTATGTCCGCACTACTGCTGTACTGCTGTGTACCCCGCCTTTTCCGAACCCGCCTCCTTTGTTTTGGTTTGAGAGACCGGCACGTGTGCGGTTGTTGCATGTTGTCGTTAACCGCGCGTTCTTCCCGAGAACGAAGCAAACAAAAATAAGAGACAAGACCAGCATCACCTCCACCACCCCTCTGCGTCTTCACCATCCCGCTTGCCTGACAAAATTCGAACTCCCACGTAGGCGTGCCTGCGGGCATGCGAAGGCGGCGAATACAGAAGCGCGATATGTACCCCGTTACACTCAAACGTCCCACCCAACCCGTCTACTGTATCAAGCTCCCTACCTCGCCGTGCGATAGACCCTCATAATCCCCGCCCGCCTGCCCCATTTTTGGTTCGCGCGTTCTCAGGTACCGCAAAAGGCGGAGATCGTGGCAATGCTCTGATCCGGGGATGGGTCTACTGTAGTTCTTTTTTCATAGCTCCATTGGCGTTTTACCGGCGAGAGGGGTATGGGCTTGCTGGTGGAGGTCATACTCTGAATTCTTCCTTTAAGACTGGAGGGGAGGAGAAGATGGAGATGGAAGATTCGAGACCCTGGGGAATTTCTAGGACGGGTTTTTTACCGCCCTTAGGCTCTATCTGGTGTACACTTGATGCAGAGTAGCAGCATTAGGAGCTTTTAATTTTTGGTGCCTATGCCACGCGGGCCCCTTGTGGACGGCTGCTGCGCTACCTTGTCAGAATCGAATCGTTTGGGTTTTCAGCGAGACCAATGAATGACGAGTGCTCGGGTGCTTTTCTCGCAGAATCTCATCTTTCTCCCTCGTTGTTTACCTGTGGCTCAAGCCACGTCTCGGGGAGGGACACATGTCTTACATCTCACAATCGTCAGGCGCAGGTCTATAGCTGTCTCGTGCGAGTGGGTATTTCGCACAAATTCCATCATTATGGTTTTCCCCGTTTTATCGGCACACGCCTCGGTGCTGGTACGGAGACCCGTTAAAACTACAACAACCGAGCGGCAGTGCCAGAGCTGTGTACAGGTTCGTGCGGCGAGGCGGATGACAGAAAACAGAGAAAATCAAGAATATTATTGCCGAGAGAGCGAGGATGCCACCTCCTCAGCCGTTCAAGGCACTCATGAACATATTTGCTTGAAAGCTCTCCGGCCGTGCAGCTACGGGTGAACCTTGTTTTTTGGCTAAATCTCACTTTCCATCGTTTATTGTACCAAGAAAAAAGAAAAGAGGTTCTTGCATTCCTAGCCTTATCAATCTACAGAACCCCCCCCCCACCCATTTGTCCTGCCCAGCAGTTGGTTCAACTCTCCTGCAACCCATGTGAGATCCTGATGGAAGTCAACACGAGAAAACAAAACGCTATTAATCCTTTTGTGCCACGGCAGCAGCAGCAGCAGCAGCACCACCACCACCACCACCACAGCAGCAACGAACACACCGCATACGCCTCTCGGGCGAGTCTGATGCCCCCCCCCCCCACACACAGCAGTCGTTACACGTGCAGTACAACAGATTCCCCGCAGTAAACTACTTGAATTGAATGCAACAAAAATACACCCCTCTACACAACCACTCTAGGTAGGGGGAGGTGGGTGTACAGGATAAGATGAAGGTGGCAATCATCCCAATCCTAAAAAAAACGCGGTCGACGACACCACTCGGCAATGCGTTTGGCCCGAGAAACTTCTTCCAAGCAAAACTTAGATATTTCACCACGGAAAAAGACCGCTGTCGTCGCCCTTTTGCATCTCATGCCTGCAAGGAGGATATAGTGTCTGAGCAAGAAAGTGCACCCATAGCGCTAAATGCAATCAATCCCCACCGTCGATTAGCACTCTTTTCTGCCGGCGCGCTGATCAAAATATTTAGTACTCCCTCGGGGTCACGACAACAGCGCAGGACTCGGGAAAATCAAAACAGGTTCAAGTTTTTTACCTGTAACGTCCATCAAACACCGAACAAAGCCTGGGGGGGGGGGGGGGATTGCCGGAAGATGATCTCGTCTGTCGTGCAGCGAGACACGAAAAACAGCATGCAATGCGTGTTGTAGTTGCGCTCCCGCAAAAAAGGTACGCCCACATTCATTCTTCAAAACCTCTCGCCGTGTGCCGCCACTTGCCGGGCCTACTCACCCTCTGCCTACGCTTAGCGTGGCATCGAAATCACAGAACCCCCGCGGGCGTCGCGGGCACAAACACGGCCAAAACATGAGTGCGCTGCGGGACGGATCAACCGACGGGCCCAAACCACCGAAGGTGGAAAGAACAAGGGAGGCTCACTGCTGCCGCCCGCCGGTCCGTACGCGTGCGTACACTCAGCTCCTTCCTGCAAACGGCAGCAGCAGCACTCCTTGACGCCCCGCCTCCCCTCCCTTGCCCTCTCTAATGGGACGCCAAGGCCACCAGGGAGCTACGACGCCCTTGACAACGCTAACGGCCGACACAACCGACATTTGGCGCACCCACATGGTTCACGTCGACCCCCCAACAACACGCACCAGGCTCAACAGGAAATCTAGGAAAGACAAACGCCAGAGCGGCACCGAGCACAACATAGGACAAGTTTTTTCTGTCTACCCACCTACCCACCCCCAACCCGTTATCTTTAACCCCTACATTCCCCCCCCCCCCCCCCCCCCCTCCCAGAAAAAAAAAAACCCCTTTTTCCCCTTTTCTCCCACC